TACAGCACTGCACGCTGATGGCTATCGAATCAAAGAAGAAAGTAGACCTTTGCATACATGGGCAGTGGGCTACATAGGCAAACACCAAAGCACTTGATCAATACATAAATAAAGACACTTTAAATTTCCTTTAATAAACCCTTGGGCATCAATCTTCAATTTCAGGGTAAGGAGGAGAGAAAACAGACCACAACCAGCCGAAATAGCTCAGTTGGGAGAGCGTTAGACTGAAGATCTAAAGGTCCCTGGTTCGATCCCGGGTTTCGGCAGATGTTTTCCTTGGTCAAAAGAGGTTAGTTTTAGCAGTTTCCATGTTCCAAGCCCTGATGCCTTGCAGGGTATCTACAAATGCAGCACCAACCGAGCAAACGTTTCGTCTGCTGACCCCTGATATGCAACTGGGAGCTAAGTGCCACTGTTGCAAATCTCCCTTTGACCTCTGCAACTAAGCACCAGGCTCATAGGCCAGCGCGTGGATTGTATTTTTTAACTAGAGAATGAGAGAGGTGGAAGGATTTTACAAAAAATTCTCCCTACACTTATGTGACGTTATTGATATACTCTGGGACCATATAGATCATTGTTGCAACCAAGGTCCTGTAGTGGCACCCAAATCTTGTATAAAGGGGGTCAAATGGGGTGTCTAAGACAAGGTTATGGTTTACTGGTTATCATTATGCTGTCTATATGTGTGTATCAGTTTTGCAGTTGAAGTTATGAATATTGGCTCTATACTGTCTGTATTTCAAACTTATGCTATGCTGCTGGGTGACATCCCAGACAAGCTGGTGTTAGCTCTGCCTAGCCTGCTTGATGGCCCATTAAGGACCATCAGCTATACAATGGACCCATTGAGAGAAGGCAGATACGCCTTGTAACTCAGCAAAGCATGCAGGGACTGGCCCATGTGACTCCAGACTCCATCTTGCTGTAATTTTCCACGGTAAGAACAAAGGTGTTCTTACACCTGGAAAAGACTATATAAGGCGGATGCCTCATCTCCATCTGGTCTTCAATCCTGCTTCATACCTTTGGAGGAACTTTGCTACAAGCTGAAGCTTTGAACAAAGGACTGAGGACCCATCCCAGCGGGGGATGTATTCCAGAGACTTGATTTGAACCTGCAGTTTATTCCATTGCTGCTGCAAGCCTGAACCAAGAACTTTGCCATTACTGTATGTAATTGATTCCATTTAACCAATTCTAACTCTCATCTCTATCTTTTTCCTTTTATGAATAAACCTTTAGATTTTAGATTCTAAAGGATTGGCAACAGCATGATTTGTGGGTAAGATCTGATTTGTACAGCTGGGTCTGGGGCTTGGTCCTTTGGGATCAGGAAAACCTTTTTTTTACTGGGGTATTGGTTTGCATAACCATTTGTCCCCATAACGAGTGGCACTGGTGGTAATACTGGGAAACTGGAGTGTCTAAGGAGATTGCTTGTGAGACTTGCGGTTAGCCAGTGGGGTGAAACCAGAGTCCTCCTAGTCTGGCTGGTTTGGTTTGCCTTAGAGGTGGAAAAAACCCCAGCCTTAGGCTGTAACTGCCCTATTTGAGCAATTTGTCCTGAGTTGGCACTCTCAGTTGGGTTCCGCCAGAACCGCATTGTCAGCGCTTCAAACCTCTAACAATGAAGTGCCTCCCTCCTGCCACTCTAAAGCCCTTAGACCCCTCTCCCTACAGGGCAGAAGCCCTTAGTCCAGGAGTAGGCAACCTATAGCACATGTGCCAAAGGCAACATACGAGCTGATTTTCAGTAGCACCCACACTGCCTGGTTCCTGGCCACTGGGGGCGCCTCTGTATTTTAAATGAAGCTTCTTAAACATTTTAAAAACCTTACTTTACATACAATAGTTTAGTTCTATATTATAGACTTATAGAAAGAGGCCTTCTAAAAAATGTTAAAATGAATTACTGGCACGCGAAACCTTATATCAGAGTAAATAAATGAAGACTCGGCCCACCACTTCTGAAAGGTTGCCGACCCCTGCCTCGTCTCATAATCCTGCCGCAGGCAGAAGCCCTGAGCTTCCCCGTGCCCAGTCTTAGAGGCAGAAAATTTGTGTGCGCACACCTGTGCCCTCCAGGCTCCACACATTAACTGTAAAAAAGCCACAGCTTGCTCACAAGCCACAGTTTGGCCATGCCTACCCTAGACACTTATTTTAGATTAAGAGGGGCATAGATTGATTGAATGGACAGA